CCACTACATGCCCAGCTCCAACTGAGTGTCAGGCACTGTTCTAGAAGCTCTGCCTGCATTCACCAGCATCACCCTCAGAACAGCCTGGTGAGACAGGGAGTTTTGTTACTGCCATGTCCCATTCGTGGACGAACAGCACGAACGCAGCCCCACTACCCATCTGATAGCATGGCTTCTGCTGGGAGAATCCTGCTGCCCCCCCCCAGCACCTGGCTGCAGGCCCCCAGGGTCCATGAGGATCGGGCTGCTGGTGACTCCGAGCATCCCCGTCACAGCTCACCCCAGCCACACAGCCTGCCTGTTGATACATGAGCACCCTGCATGGTCCTGGCTGTAAGATGTGACAGAAGCTATCTCACTGAACTCATGTTTCTAGGACTGTGGAACATCCTGCGGGATGTGAAGGCAATGGGGCGGGGGGAGAGATCCTCAACCTGTTGATGGAGGTAAAGCTATTGCAACTTTCTCACAGTAGTACTTAATGTGGTCATATGGTACTCTCATCTTTTATCTCTTGAGGGTCGGATCTATTTTCTCACGGCTATATACACGAGTTTCTTCTGATTCTGTTTTATTTACCCCTGAATGAAAACAATTGGTAACCCAAACAGAATATTTTAAAATTAGAAATTCACAGAATATTAGAATACGTACCCTTAGGTGACATCCATAATGTTACTGTATCTGAATCCCTCATGATCACATCTGCTGAGAATGATACACCCAGTGTTGATCAGATCAGATTAATGCTCCTAGGATGAGAGGTGGAACAGAGGCCAGGCCAGAACAGATGGGGAAGGGAGGCCAGGAATGGCACTCCTTGGTGGCTTGTCCCACAGCCAGGTTCATGTAAGCCCCTCAAGTTGGTGTATGATTGTCTGGGGAATGTAAATGCAGCAAGATTTATGAAGCACACTTTGGAAACTGGAAAGCACTGAACACATTTCTTTGACATTGTTGTGAAAGAAAACCTGTTATCTGCACAAGCCATATGGGTTTATAAGAAGGCAAAGCATGTTTGCATCTGTAGGAAGCTGACATGACTATAGTGTTTTCCCCATGTCTCACTGGGGCCTCACTGAGTGTTCGGCAGAACGAGACCCAAGAGGCTAAGTGTCTGAGGCCACATGTTTAGCTCGGGGCAGGACTGAGTCAAGAAGTCCTGGCCCCGTGCAGTGCTCTCCCCACAGTTCCCAGGGGGTTATATGCCTTCCTGGTGAGAGATGGAAACAGAGAAAGGGCACAGGACCCTGAGCCGGAAGCCCATGGGTCCAGCCCTCCTCAGTCACTATCTCACTGGGGGACCTGGACAAGCCACTTATCATCTCTGAACATCAGTTTCCTCATCTATTAACGAAAAAAGGGGCCAATAATCTAGCTAGTGGGCACTCATTCACTTTCTGGAAACTAGGGAATCATGTCCTCACTGTCCATCCAGTGTCCATACATTTCAGGAGGCCTTGTCTCCAAGCCTGACTCCAAGTGGGCCTGTGACCCAGGCCGGGAGAAACTGGGTGCAGAATTCAGAAGGCTCAAAGAGATGCATGGGCTACAGTGGCCTGGGAAGAGGTCTGCTCTCTTTTCCCAAGAACTTGGAGCCGCCAAGACCAACCACCACGTACAGGCTGAGAACGAAGCCAAACAGTGGAAAGCGGAGCCAAAAGATGGTGAGAAACAATCCTGATGAAATTCTTTGTGCCTCTGATCAGCATACCTGAAGTCTGGGCTTTTGAGGCACACAAGCCAAAAACCTTTTTTTTTGCTCAGCCATTTAGAATTGGCCTTCCTGTCCCTTGAAAACTAAAATGTTCAAGACTGATACGATCTCTTCTCAGGTTAGCTGCACCGAACAAGTTATTGTATGTGACAGCCCTCTGCAAACAATAAAAGCCTTTTGCAAACAATAAAAGTAGAGCAAAAGTACTATATATCAGCTTATGGGAGGAGGGAGGCAAATAATAATATTAAAGTAAAAACTGCCACTATTTTCAGTTATGACTTTATAATAAGGCAAGAAGAAAAGGTCTTCTCCTACTAAGATTTAGCGTGATGCCTGATGACTTCCTGGAGCACCAGCATGGTGAGATGGGACGGGACACAGAGGGAGTAACTTACAGAAAAGCAGCCCAAGTAGAGCATGAACTATGACAAGGACCACAGTTTTAGACCGTGACGCAGTGTGGCCGTGTGGAAGCCACGTCTTAAAATGAGGAGGAGCTCTCCCTTTCCCAAATTTCATTTCTAATAGTTTCTCAAATTATTTGACATTTGATAAGGTAAGGAAGTGAAAAGGACAAAACAGGGGGGGCAGAGTGGTCATGAACAACTGAAAGAAAGTATAGGAGCACACGTGTGTGTATTGCCTCAAAGGACCTGAAGCAAAAAGAGGTAAATGAAAGGGAAAAGTGGTACCTCGTGAAATCCACTGTGGACTGAAGGTGTTTCGTTACAGACGACAGGGCTGGAGGACGTCTGTGCTGAGATACCGACAATGCACTCGATGCAGGGGCCAGTCCTCATGAGACGCCCACCAGGCGGACGTGAACTCCGCCGTCTCAGAGATGAGGAAACTGACACCCCAGCGGCCACATCCGTCATCCGCCCAGTTCCCACAGGGAGAGGCACGCCTTTCCGCGTCACTAGGGTCCTCCGGCCCCAGGCCCTCCGTTCTCTGCCCTCCCACGAAAGGACAAGGCTCCAAGGGGAAGCCGAGCACAGCCTCACCAATGAAGCTGCTACTTTGGTTAGCAGTTGGTACCCTAGTTTTGTTTTGTTTTGTTTTTAATGATTTTTTTTAAAGTTTTTATTTCTTCTGAGTTGATGACTGTGTGGACCTAGGGACCTAGGGAAGTACCAACCAATGAAAAGTTGCAATGACTCTTAACCTGAAAATGAAATCAGTGAAAAAAAAATCAAGGAACTTATCTTGCAGAGAGTACACATTTCACAGGGATTTTCCAGTTTATACTTACCTAACCCCCGAGAACCTAAAAATAAATCCTAGACAAACTTAGGCTCCACCATCTCTGGTGCCACACAAGTGTGACAAAACTTGAGTGCTTTCAAGAATTTCGTAGGTTTGGGACCAGTGCTTTGACCACTCTGAGAACTGAATAAAAGCTATTTTACTTTGACCAGAAAAACATAAAACCACATACAACTTAAAAAAAAAATCAGCCAAATCACAAATCATAGGTTAATAATGCCCAGCTTCAACGCAGAAGGGAAGTATCTGTGAAAAATAGAAGCTTAATGGTAATTAACCCCAGGCAGGACCAGCCTACCCCTGGAGGTCTCCTTGTTCAAAAAGACCTTCCCTCACAGAGGCCTGTGGTTGAAATATGCCAGCACCCACAGGAAGGCTGCCAGCCCTTCGTCCGTGGTGGTGATCCTTTTCCTGACATCTTCTGTGGCTGAGCCTGCGAAGTTGGGACAGGATGGGAGAGGACAGAGGCGGGCAAATACGCAGTCCGGCCATGCAGGTAGCAGGACTGGCCGGACAGGGCCCACGGTGGCCCTCGTCGCTGGTGGGAAAGAAGTGGAAGAGCCAGAGAGAATACGTCACAGACGACTGTCTTATTTCAAAATTCTGCTCAGAGCTGGCCCTCTGCCCAGGGATGCAGAGGGAACAGCTCTTCCCACTTCCCTTCCTCACAGACAGCGAGACCCCCCTGTCCAAGACTCCACTCTCATGATAGTAACAGCTTCTGTGGACTCGTCTGGGAACCTCGCCCCACTTATGGCATCGTTTCCTTGGGAAAATGAGCACCGAATTCTAAATCATTCGTTTACTAATGAACTTTCCAAACATGATCCTCTCACATGGTGACTGTGTCTGTGCTATCGCTGTGGGTGTTCTGACAGCCGTGTGCACTTTTAGGGACTTGGCCTGAGAAATCTGCTGTTTCCCAACTCCTATGTGCCTTCAAGAAGTGACTGGGTCCTTTCTCCAAAGCCGTATCTCGCGGTGAGTCCACTAGCGGCTACTGGAGATGAAAGGCATTTTAACAGGGTGGTCTCTGCTCTTCCTCCCCCTCCTCCGGAGGTTAACAGAGCTCCCACTGGAGTTCACAAGTTTCTGCTCTTTGTCCATCACCGACTTGCTGGCTAAATGGGGGTTTATCACCTAACTTTTTGGTGTGTCATTTTTGATAGTTGCAAAGTGAAGCTGGGCTGGCAGATGGAGACAAAAAATGAACACGCCGAGCTTCTCAAGAAAATAACATGGGCGGGTGTTTTTCTCCTTCCTAGCAGGGAGGATAAGATGTTCGGCAATCTGCTAATCTGGTATCAATGGCATTTAAATTCACTCCTCTTTGGGGAAGAATGGAAATGATGAGGATGATAATTAACATTGCATCAGCGCTTTGGAATTTACAAGACATTTTATATCTGTCATCTCACTGGATCCCAAGGAAAGCTTGGGAAGGCTCGCATGGCAGGCATCACTTTTACTTCTGCTTAATGAGTCTGGGGACTGATGCTCCAAGAGGCCAAGTGCCTTGTCCAAGGTCATTAAGTGAGTGAGGGGACAGGCAATGGTCAAGGCCAGGTCTCATAATTTCACCTTTGATCCTTTTTCCACTTGATCTATTCCCTGCCGCGTTTTTCCTAATTCAACCTATCATCTGAGTGATCATGAAAGGGAGAAATTATAGGTCTCTCACAAGGAAAGGTACATTATGTGAAAAAGCACAAAGGATTAGAGGACCCAGATATATCCGATCTATATATATAACTAGTTACCCTAGTTAACTATTCTTAGTTATGTCCTACCTAACTTATCTATCCTGCCTGTCCTAGCTCAGCAAAGAGCAGGTTCCTGTGGAGCACTGGGGATGGGGGCATGAGCCATAACCATCTCATACCACTGGTTAGTTCTTTGGGAGGATTATATTGTGAGGAAAGGAGAACATAACATTAGATTACTGTAACATACAAGCAAAGGATCAACTTTTTTTAAGTTGATCTTAAAAAAAAGAATTTCCCCTGAGAAAAAATTTTCTAATCATCTCTGTCATCCCCTAGAAACAGACCAGATCAATCAAGAACATCTCCATCCCCATGTTTTCCTAAGGATCATCCACCTGCCGGTCTACGTATGGGCAGAGCAGGTGGGTGATGGATGTGCTAGGGTTCCCACCCAGCCCATTGCAGGCTCTGCTGAAGACATGGACACCTACATCCCAGCAGCGTCATGAAACTGAAAAGTAAATGACAAACTCACTAAAGGTTACTTTCCTTACGTAAGAAGTTTTCATGTAGCAAGGAGTTTGTGAAATACAAAAATACCAACAGAAAAATGGACATAAACATACAATTCACCAATGAGTGGGTCCCAGTTAAAATAAATACACACTGACCTCAGTTATCAAGTATGAAGTATAGGGGGAGCACAGACTAGATCATTAACAGAGGCTATCTTTGGGCTGGGAGCTGTGGATAATTTCTACTTTCTTTGTATATATTTGGATTCTAAAATTTTTGGTACAATGAACGTGTACAATTTCGGTAAGCAGTGATTAAGTAAAAAACTAAGTTCGGAACGCTGTGGGAAATGTGAGATATGGAAATGACCTCTTCCCACTCTAGGAAATTTTCCCAGTGCTACAGGAATCTCTCGTTAATGGCTTCCATGTAATTAACCACCAGCATTGTTGAGGAAATACAGTAAGATAAGAAGAACAGATTCTTAAAGTCTATGCTACGGTATGAAAAACCTAGAAAAAGCTTCCACTGCTTATTTAATTACTTTTGATACAAAAAAAGGAGAGTTCTTTTCTTGAATGATCTGCTTTCTACTTCTGCAAAAGTTCTCTCATGAAAGCTGAATAATTCTGTCATCCGGGTACATAAGTTAGTGTACAAACTGTTGTTTATTTCTTCTATTCTAAAAAACGTAAGGACTAAAATGTTCCCTTATAATTTCTCTTCATCTTTCCTAGGATTAAAATATCACTCTACTCTGATTTTCTTTTTCAATCACAATTTTTAAAGCCACAAGTAAAGTTCTCTTTGGTGCAAAATTATTTTATGGTTTTTTCAATTTAGCTACAGTTTCATCTGCTTTCTCTGACAGAAATTCACTATGAGAAAGGATTTTTGAGATAATCTGATACCTTCCCCCTTGACTGAGAGTAAAGCTAAGGCCAACAGAGTTTCAGTTACGGACAGCTGAGAAACACGCCAGCCAAGCTAAAAATAACCCAGGCCGGGGTAGTTTATTGCTTCTTTAGACTCATTTTCATTTCAATTTTATACTCATAAGCTAGAAGGAGAATCTTTTAACATTAAACAGTAGTTTGGCTTAAGAGCAGTGTTTAATTTAGTGCTTAAATATTGTCTCTCGTCAGGATGGACCGGTGTGCCTTCTACTGGGAGGATGTTACAGGGAGGGAGTAGCATCGCGTGGCTGGGGTACACCCGAAGATTCTTGACGGCTGTTTCCACAGCTTGGCCACAACTCAAATGAAGGTGAGAAGAAGAGAGTCGAGAGAGCCCAAGTATCTTAATGGATATATCCACTTTTAAGCAGCACTAGTACTAAATGCCTTTTTTTTTTTTTTTGACTTACAAAAGAACCACAGACTTTTACAGCTTGGGTTTAAAAGAAAGAAAGTAACTTAGAATTCTGGACTTTCCCTCTGAATGGCAGAGGTGAACTATTAAGATACAGAATAGATACACCTGAATAACATTTTTCAGGTCACCAGGTAACTGTCGGGACCCTTGATCAGCCGGACTGAAAGCTCCTTGAGGGCAGGAGTGCTTTCCCCAGTGCCTGCCACAGCTCTGGGCACAGAGCCAGCACTCAGCAAATTGTGTTAAAACTTGATGGGAAGACCAGAGGGGAAGGGTCTCCAGAGACAGGAGTGGCTGGAACTGGTGCTCCAGGAGACAGCCCCTTCGTGCTGACCCTGAAAGGTCCCAGAGACAGACAGAGGCGTGTGGTTATTTACACAATAAAGTTATTACTCTGGAAAGCAAAGTCATTACTTCAGTTATGACTGGTTATTTACTCTAATAAAGGGATAATAAAAATGATAAATAATTTTGAATTTCCCAAAGGCCCCAGGGCTTTACATCTGAGGAAGAAAGCAGTCTTCACATAGGGACTTGGATTTGTAAATACGAAGGAGGACGTTGTTGGGATGGAATATGCTGAGTGTGATACAAGCTCACGCTCTTCTTATTTCTAAGGACAAGAAGGCGAGGGAGCAAAGAAAACTATGAAACTAAAGGTAAAAACTCGCAGAAAGGCTTCCCAGCTCCATGTCTAGCAATAGGTCAAAAACTGCGGCTCCAAGGGCTTCGAGATTTCTTATGAGAAACTGTAGTAAGAAAAACACCATGACTCATCCTGTAATAATGCCCTTTCTTCCCAAAGTACACATCACGATTCCCACATCCCTGGCACGCGGGCACTCGGGGCAGAGCTACTGCAGCTCGGAGCATCTCTCTGCACCCCGCGGCGGGGTGGCTGGCAGGGTGCGGGGGGCGGCACGGCTGCCCTCCTTCTGCCCCGAGGGAGGGGGATGACTCCCCCTGTGCTGCCTGATCTGGAACAGCGGTTCTTTTGTGCGGCCACCTTCCGGAGCCAGGGAGCTGAGTGCAGCTGGCCTCTGCGCACACAGGCGGAGAGAAGCCCTGGCAGGGCAGTTCTGAATAGGCCCTCCCAGATTTCCTAACCGATTGTCACTTAGACACCAAAGATCCAAAATGAAAAGAAAAGGAAAAAAAAATTTATGGGAAAAGGAATCGGCTACTCAAGGTTACAGCACGAGGAAGGTGCCCCGGTACTGACTCACTCCCTGTCCCTTCCGTGGCTGTGGAAGAGAAGTTAAGTAAACAGCTGTGGGAAAAATAAGTGAAGTTGATGCCAAAGAAGTATCTCCAATACGGTCGCTCAGGAAGCCTGTTTCCTGGGCCCTGCCCAGCCAGGCGAGCCTGGAGAATAACCACTGGGAGAAAATGAGGGGAATCCTGTCCTTTGGCAAATGTCACAGTAAACTGATAAAGGAATTCAAAGCTTTAAGGAACGTAAGGAAGTTGGAGGGGTGCTCGAGGGAGCCAGTCATCACTGGCTTCAGGCATTTGGAGTGCATAGCCAGGCAGAAGGCAATCCTGGGAGGGAAGGACTGTTTATTGATCCTTAAGGAGCGGAGCCTGGAGGGCTCTGCAGAGGTCAAATCTCAGTGAGGATTACGCTCTGTGGCACTTGTGGAAGGACCATGTTCTCGGCTGGGTGGGCCATTTGTGAGAGGGGACAGGGCCCTTTGCTCGACCTCGACATTTCACTGTTTCCAGGAGAAGGAGCTTACGGGGGTGGCAGAAGAGCCTGGGAGGAGGGGATGGGCACAGGTGAGCTGGACAAGAACGGAGGGTGCATGGAGCCTGAGTCCAGGGCTGAAGCCCTTCAGCAGTGTCTGGTGTTAGCTGACTTGTGTATGTGGGGCTGGGAAAGTGTGTGTGTGTGTGTGTGAAGGATGGTCAGAGGTGGGGGAAGAGGGCAGCTCAAGAGACAGAGACTGACCACATTCTAAAGAGAATCACTCAAAACAATGAAAGATCCTCACAATGTAAAGACATTTTTCTCATAAGCTCAGTTGGTTACTCTGACAGTGTTATCACTGGACATCAGAACATTTTGAAGATAAGAAAACTGAACTGGCTCATGCAAAAGGCTCAGACCAGTCAACTGCTCAGAACGAAAATTCTTAACATTTAGGAAGCCCTCCAGATTACAGGATTTATATGACAGCAGTATAGAACACTTACATCTGTATAAATATCAGTGCCCCTGAGGAGGATAATATTTCATTTGTATTGAGATGTTTTAATTCACCCTTAATAATTTAAAATAGTAAGTATTAATATGACATATACAAGATCTAATTTCTTCTACAGTCCATCTGAAAACAATATTACTTTCTGGTACAGTTAATTATTGTTTTCTTAAACCACAAATCAAGTTCTTCACTGGTCTGAGAATCAGTTAAGCTACATTCTATTATAGTTGTTTGCCAACAGCTTTACTATTTTAGTATTTATTAATTTACTAAGATAACTCAACATACTGGAAATACTTAAAAATATAAACTTTTAATACTTTTCACCAAATTTGCTTCATTTATTTCATTTAATGTGTATACTTAGAGTTTACCTGACAGATGAAGAAACAAAGGTCACACTGGCTTTTGTGAAGGGCTCATCTGCTCCAGATGAGGGTATCTCAATTTACATATGAGTTCTCTGCTCTTTACTTTTCATGGCTCTCTGTTCACCCTTCTAGTCTCTAAAACACTTTTCCTATGTATTTATTTAAGATGAGATAAGAAGCTGGTTTCAGACCATGCGGGCCAAATTTCAGATTTCATAAGGATTAAAAAATAATAAGCATACGGGGTAATCTAATATCCCCATAAATTATTCTAGAAGCATAATAATCATGTCATACTTCATGTCAGGTTTAATGTCTGCTAGGTTTTTTTTTTCTCTCTGCTAAAGCCTCAAGTCACATGTCCAAAAATACGGGGATAAAAAAATTGGTACAGATGTAAGTTCAGATAGACTGGGCTTTCGCTGCAGCAAGATACACACACATATACGCACAACAAGGAGACGCTCTCAAATGTATAGATCAAGCTTAAAAGACAAAGCTGTAAGCTATAACATTATAAGTGAATTTTCGTTATCTATTTGTCTGATAGAGAACTCCAATGAAACAGAAACAGGACCCAATGGAGCTCAAGACTTAGCACGAGAAGAGAGAGAAAAAAACAAACCCTATCAGCTAAGAAACAACACACTGGGGAAAAGTACTGGTTCTCATGAAAATGTCAGTGATTCACCATGGAATAAAATTCAAAAGCCACTGACCCCAATGAAAGCTTCCAGTGGAACATGTGGATTTTGCTTCATTTCATTTAAAGACTTTGCTTTATATTTCATTTAAATACTATCATAAGCACTGTCACAATTTTTGTGACATGTTGCTTTCTCATTTTAAATTGACATGGAAAGGTTTGATACTGCTGATCAGACTAAATTTTCAAGGACTCATCAGAAAAAGAATAGACCACGTCAATTAATCGATATTATCGTGCAAAGAAGGTTAGGAAATTTCCGCATGCAGTGTGTACTCAACAGCTGGATGGAAACAGAAGGCAAGTCTCTTTTCTAATTTTCACAGTAACTTATCATGTAAGCAGATTTATTGGTTTATAAAGTTTTTTTTATACATACCAGCTCCTCACTCTGACTTGGCAAAAGATCACGACTGAACACAAGCTGACTTACGCAGACCACGAATCTTTCGGGAAACATGCGGAGTTCTGTACAAAATGAAGGAAAACGCATCACTAAAGCTGTCAAAAGATGGTGAACACAGAGACGCTTGCCCCAGATTTCTGAGTTACAGCGATTACCGT